GGTTTCTTTTCTTCCATCATGCAAGGTGGTATACTCAAGGTGTTTCCCATCAAGGTACTGACTAAATTTCAGCTAATATGAGGACAATGTTTTAAACCAGGGGTGTCCAACCTTTCACCTTCCCTGGGCCACATTAAAAGATGAAAATTTGGTTTGGGCCGCACATACATTTGGTTTGGGCCACATGGGGGGGCAGCCCTAGCCATCCTTCGCAGCCCCGCTCCAAGCACGTTTACCGGCAGCTGCGATCTCAGACAGCAGAGGCTGCCAGCTTGGACTCCGGCGGCTTTATGGGGCCGGGAGGGGGGCCACCTATTGACGGGGATAGCGCAATGCAGTCACACAGCCGTCCCTCTCCCCTCCCACTCCTTCCTTCCCTCTCTCCCCTCTACTGTTGTGACATGCCCCGGCCACATTCTGGCCGCAAGCGCCGGCAGTGTAACTTGAAACTTTGGAATTTCTTTTTTTAAAAAAATTGCACTGGGCCGCATTACGAGCTGACCTGGACCGCATGTGGCCCTCGGGCCGCAGGTTGGACAAGCCTGTTTTAAACACTTTCCCCAGAACCTAACCAGTATCCTTTCCTGCAATGTCTCCCCAGCTGTGTTTCAATCTTTTTAGTTGTATCTAGTGGTGGGGGAGATATGTTTCATCAATGAAACATGACTACATCACCAATAGGCACACATTGCATAATGTCTAGTCTGCACCAGGGCTTGGAAGCACTGGCCAATGTCTTACTGGTATTTGTGCATGCTTCCTGCAGTTTGTTGCAGCTAATTGTAATTAATTGGTGAGGCGCCAGACTACATCTCAGTTGTGCGCATGGCCAGACATACAACTAAGACTTTCCCTAGCACTTCATTAATTAGCCACAGCAGTTATGGTAACCTTGTGCAAACAAGTGATGGCCAAGTAGGATTCCCTAGCACTTTATTAATTAGCCACAGAAGTTATGGTAACCTTGTGTAAACAAGTGATGGCCAAGTAGGATTCTGGCCATTGCTTTTTTGGACAATAATTTTCAGAATCTGCTAGCCCAGAATTCCCCTGATGTGGGCCTCCAACAAGTAGCAGGTATCTTTGGACTAGAACTTGGAAATGTTCTGGATTGTGACCCAAACTCCCTGGAATCATGCTCGCCAGAGGATTCTGGGACTTGTAGCCAGAAAAACTGACATCTTATTTATTCATTTATTTAACTTATATACTGCCCATATAGAATGTGTCTACTCTGGATGGTTTATTTGCAAGCTTTAGTCCAAATATACCTGCTAGTCATCCACACTAGGTGTCCTACTGTAAGTGTGTGATCCCATGGAAGGTAGATGCTTGTCTTTGCTCATTTCCTTTAAAGTGTCTGCTTACTACATAGGATCTAAGCCAGGAGCAAAGGGAGCTGCTTCCTGGACACACCTTTAAATAAATAAAAGCTGCTTGTTGCCTGAGGGTGCGAGATTGGTAAACACTGAATACCAGTTGATTTTACTTTTTTGCTGAATGAAGGAAATTAAAGTGGAACTAGAAAGGAAAGGGATGTAAGGAGGCAGATTTGCATAGTCCTTTACGTCTTCTTAAGTGAGGCCAACTTAAACACAAGATAAGGAAATCAACTGTACTCTGGGTGCCTGGATATTTCAGGAAATTATTATAGCCTAATGCTGAATAATAGAGTTCAACGTGCTCTGGATATAAATTAACCACATGCATTAGATTGTGCGTAAGAGAACTTGCCAAAAAATACAAAGAACAGAGCTATGAACTTAGATGAACTTACCTTGTTTAGAGATAACTTTGGAAAGCAAGGATAAACAACTTATGCTGAAGCCCATTTACACATTATCCTTGGACGTCACTGCTTAGGCACTCCTTCCTTTTGCCAAAGTAACCAAATCTAGTGTTATTCTTCTGTAGAATCTGATTCTCAGAATAACACAAGTGTAAGCCTTGCTGTGAGTTGCAATTCAACTCCTCATGGTTATCTGTTGGAAATCAATACAGCTACCTGTTCCATGGTGGAAAACAGGTATGATAAGGACTTTACAAAGGTCACAGAGAGGAAAAAGGAGTTCCACCCCTCTCCCTTAGACCAGCGATTGGCACAGGGTTTTTTTTAATGAGAAACCTGAGGGTTTCTCAGGAAGGACAGTGAAGGCTTAATCTTCTTTAAACAAAGGACAGTGCTTCTGCCCTTGGGATCTTCCCTGAATTTTGCAGCTACAGAAAACTGATGGATGCTATCGTAAGCCCTCTGTTCATGCAGCTGCAAAACTCAAGTGATTTGGCCAGTTTTGTGTTTTAGGTACTCCTTGAGGAGGACTAAATTGAGAGTGCATATGTATGCCCAGAAGCACATGAAAACATAACTCTTTGGGACTGTAATTCCCAGAATCCTCTGGCTAGTGTGGGCAGTAGCCATGCTTAATGAGAAATTCTGGGAGTCAGAGTTTTTCCATATCTGGGATATGGGCAGAATTATCCTAAGACACTTTGCTGTCTGAGACAAAGACCAAGAAAGTACTCTCTCCCAGTTCATGTATACAGACTGACTGGATTGGCAGTTGAATAGTTCTGTAACATTGGCAGATGGGATAGCCATAGCAGTGTTCATTTAGCCACTGCCTCCAAATGTCTCAGCTGGCATAGTCAATGCTTGGGGTTTGGGGAGCTGAAGTTTGAAGGTTGACACCCCCGCTGTCTACTGCATCTGAAGGCAGCAGGCTAGCTTAGGGGAGTGCAGAGCAGGTCATGTGTCTGACAGCTCTCTCCCCCAATACCTTGCTGCCATTTCCCAGTGTCTGTTGCCTGAGGTGGCCACCTTACTCTGCCCAATGATGGGGTCCAACATAGCCCCAATGAAATGTCCAATCAGGTAATGCAGTTGTATCACATTACCTGATTGCATTACAATCTAATGCATGTGGTTAATTTATATCCAGAGCACGTTGAACTCTATTATTCAGCATTAGGCTATAATAATTTCCTGAAATATCCAGGCACCCAGAGTACAGTTGATTTCCTTATCTTGTGTTTAAGTTGGCCTTCCCTGGCCTGGTCCCCTCCAGAATATTTTGAACTACATCTCTCAGCATCCCTGATTGTTGACTGGGTTAGTGGGGAGTGATGAGATTTGTAGTCTGAAATATCTGGAGGACACACTGGGTTGGGGAGGGAGGGTGGTCTGTGCATAAACCAGGGAACTGACCAGGGAGTGGGTGTAGAATGCTGCATTGAGAAGGAGGTAGACTTAGCTGGAAAGCTCAGACAGGCATACAGATAGTGAATCTGGTATAGTATATCTCAAGAATAAGTTGCCCAAATTGGGGAATATCTGCCTCTTTGTTAAGATGGTGTACAATCTCTTTGTACTCCTGTTCCCTTTGAACAGTTACAATTAAGTCATTTTATGTAGGCAATAATTAAAGTTAAATGTCTGTTTTTCAGCTACATCCCCCTTTTTTGCCATGTGCTGATTTATACCATCTGGCACTAGCATATTCTGCTGTACAGGTATAGCACAGGGACAAAACTGTTGTTCTTATTGTTTGTGGACATGCACCCAGTCTGACCCAACCAGTTTCCTAAGTAGATTATTTCTGGTGGCAACTTTCCCCTTGGTGTTCAGACAATATTTTTTTTTGCAGGTCAAGATTTGATCCAGAGTGATCAAATTTTGATCACATTTTGGGGATAGAGCAATGTTCCAAAATCTTGCCTTCCTAACTAACACAAAGCTCCCTCTCTGCTTCTCTGTTCTTTAAGTGAAAGGAACAGACCTGTGTTTTTAAAGGGTTTGGCTTCTGGAGAGACCATCTGTATATCTATCATGACTGGTAGCCACTTTTAGCCTCACCTTCCATGGATTTGTCCAATCCCTTATCAAAGGCCATGTGGGAGGAATGGGAAATATCCAGGAATGTGACACTTCCAGTTAAGCCATTATACTTTATATTGATGTCTCTGCAAAGTGACACCACAGAAAAGCCCTCTTATTTTGAGTTTTTCAAATAAGGTTCTCACTTTGCATTTCCCCTTTATAGTACAGAGGTACTGTATGTAAAAGTCTAGAAGGTGGTTGTTTTGTTTTGTTTTTCTTTTTTGTTTGTTTTGGTGGGAAGGACATCTGCCATATAGCCATGAAACCATAGAAGACATTGTTCAGAATGGACATCTGCCATATAGCCATGAAACCATACAAGACATTGTTCAGAATGTTATAAACTACTCAAGTTGGGCTAGAATTATAACATGACCTTTCATAGTTCAAATATCATTAAATTTGGATGATAGAACATCATTAAAAACAACATCCTCTTATTTCAAAAGGCATCTCTACCATTTAAAAAAGTTTGGGGGAAGCATGTGATCTATGCAGTCTTTGTAATTAGTTTACAGCCAACATGGAGAATGTGCAATGTTCAGATGCTATTAAATGGCATCTCCCATGATCTCTTTCCACTAGTTAGGATTGAATGGAATAGCAATTCAACAACATAAGGAATGCCACTTTTGGGTTACAAGATTGTTAGGCAATAGTTGTCTATTTCAAAGTGTGGTGCATCCAGTTTAAAACATATCCTTTATGTCTAACTTGCAGAAAAACATGGGTATAGATGCAATGAAAATAATAAAAGGAGGTGTAGGGGAAATTAAACGATGAGTCTTGTGATACTTTAAATACTAAGAGGATTTATTTGCCATACTTTTTATGGACTGGGGATGCATTCCATGAAAGAGTATCTTGATCAAACTTGTTGGTCCCAAATATGTCACAATATTCGCTGCTGTTTTTACTGTGACAGAACACAGACTAATTGGGATGGGATTTTTTTCCAATGTTTTGGACTAGAACCCCCATAATTCTCTATTTTGGGAGTTTTATGTGACAAATGCCTTACAGAAGCTAAATGTGGCTCACCTGGGAGAAGACCTCAGCTGGAAAGCTTTAATGGCCATGTAAGCCTAGCTCCACCCAAGCTTCTGTTCCTGCCCCAGTGCTAGCTGGGAGTTTTCTTTCTCTACAAGAAGCTAGGCCTAGCTGTAGCCCAGAGCCTTCTACTTGAGGCCTTTCACCAAGGTGAGCCACATTTAGTTTTGGTAAACCGTGTCTGTCAAGTGTAACTCCCAGAATGGAAAATTATAGGGTCTGTAGTCCAAGAAATCCAAAGAGCCTATCCCTACAGATTAACATTGCAAGCACTCTGTAGATTTCTTCAGGAATATTGTTTGGGCATGCCATAGCACTTTAAAATCTGATCACGTCAAAAAGCACTGACTGTTGAATCAACCTGTTCTTACAAGTGGCACCTACAGCAAAATGTGGTAGCATGGAGGACTGCTGTTCAAAATTCCAACTCATTTACCCCATTCACCTGGTTTCCTGACCCTCACCCCCACAACAATTAGCATTCCACGGCCAGTAAGCATACTCAGTCTCCACCAAGGTATTTGAATCATCATCTTTACTTTTCCCTCTACAAACCTGGGGTTTCCTTATGCCTTCTGATATCTCTCACTTGTACTTGGGTGGTACTTTTTTGGCTGCATAAGCAACGGTGTTCAATACCTGAATGCTGGGAAGACAGAAAATGATTCTGGGGCACACTGTAGATTGTCTTGTTATGCTCCGACCACAGTTTAGAAGGGTTATTTTTTTGGACTGCAGTTCACAGAATCTCTTATGGGTTGTGTTGGCCAGGAATTTTGGGGAGTTGGCATCCCTGAAATTCCCAGCTTCCACAGTCTGGTTCTGATACTAGTGAATTTTGTTCGACTAACCGCTGCCCCACGTGAACTGGAACTTCATGGAACTTACTCTCCTGCTGTAACTTGGAATGTGGACTGATGAGTAAGGCAAGCCCATCTGCCTTTCCAGCAGATTTTCTAGTATCACTAATTTTCTTAGCAGTGAAGCCCCAATAAGTTTCTGAAAAATTCCTGGGTTCCTTGGAACATAGCTTGGATGAAAGATTACGGAACAGGGATTTTGTAACAAATATCTATTATCTGGGGATATCAGATGAAACCCAGGTGATGATGGGGTCAGTAATGATGATCAGTTATTAAAAAGTGGCTCTAATATCTCAGGAGCCTCCACCACAATGTATACCTGCAATCTCATATGAATCTATAGAAGTTTCTGATTCCAAATCAGATTTGTCTGTGTGGCCCGCCATATTCTGCTGGCCCATTAAGGGCATCAGCTTCAGAGGTATGCCTGCAAAGAAATGCTTTACTCCTGGACTCTGTTAGAGACAAGATGCATTTTCATCTGCCCAAGCACATGGATCAGGGGCAGTTCTGTTGCAGCCTTCCAGATGTTTTTGGACTACAACTCACATCAGGCTTAGCCACTAGAGCTGATGATAAGAGATGGCTGCCGCTCATAAGTGGACACATATAGAGACTCAAAAATGTACTATAATAGCTACACACTACTACTGTATTTCCTTTCCATTCTGTACGATCCCCACTAAATAAATTGTTATTTATTTAGTTATGAAATGTTACTGAATGTGGAAACAATGAAGAATATTGTGGTACTGTACTTGCAAGATTGATAAGTTTTATTATATTTTATTCTATGCTCTGTGTAAAAAGAAAGATACGATCAGATCAGCCGAAGGAGAAAATATTTAATTGGATAGGATAAATGTGTGTCAATATTAAGTCTTATGGAAAGCTTAAAAAGTCAACATTTTCTTTAGAACCAACCAGCTGCAGACCAGCCAACTGCAAAGTGCACTATATGCAACACACAGCAACAAGCCTTCAAGCCTTTATAAGAGTGAAAGATTTCAGTGCCAAGTGAAACAGAATAATGGGAAAGTATTCATGTTCTGCATCTGTACAGATACTGAAGTGGCTGCTGCTAATGAATATTCAACATAAGCAGCAGCATTCGCAAGAGTGCTTTGTACTGATTCTAATACACCTGGCAGATGAATAGTTGTCTGCCTGTCTGCATCCTTTTTTGACTTTGCACTGCCTCAACTATATCTCTTCTACCCTTGTATATATTAGCATACAGTAGATGCCTCCAGAGCACATATGAGAAGATCTGCATGAAAGCTTTAGATCAGCATAGCCATTAAGTCCAAGGCATTCCTTTGATAAGTGTGAGATAAGAAAAGCTTTTTGTGCTGGCGAAAGAAAAGAAAATTCCAAATTAGAAGGCAGCAAGAAATACTCTTAAGCAGAGAGGCTCTCATTTCACATTGAGAATGGTGGCTACTGCTAGCCATTGCTCTGATGCAGCCTTCTTCCATAAAGGTTCCATTGGAACATTATCTTCATGGTGGTGTAAAGAAAAATAGCAGGTTAGTGGTACTGGGATGCCTGCAGCTAGAAGGCTCAGCTGCCTAAAGCTGATGATGTCGTATGGAAAGAGACTCTGCCCAGGACAAGCAGCAAGAGCAGAGCGTTTCAGAGAGGAATTCAAAGGTTTAGAAGGGAGGAATATTCAAAGACATAGTGATGTTATGCTTTAAAACACCACAGAATAAAATGAAACGAAAACAAAAATATTATAGCACCTTTAAGACTAACAAGTGCATTTCGCCATCAGCTTTCCTGGATGCAACCTTCCTTTTCAGACACAGTTTGCTTTGGTTATGCATCTGCCAAGGAATGATAAAAAGCAATCACTTTCCATAGTATAGCGTTGATGGCAGATGAAATGAGAGGCAACTGAGATTAGTTGACATTCTGAATAGCACAGGCTATATAGAGGTATAGTGCAGATGCAAACTGCAGTAGCATGCCTTTGTATCACTTGCCGTGGAACACTAGATGTCCCGCCTGTTGGCATAGGGACACAGGGAAGTGCCTAATAATGAGTCCACAGGGTGATCTAGCCTAATATTGTCAGTTCTGACTGGCAGCAGCCCTCCATGCTTTTAGGCAGACCTCTTTTCTAACTTGCTCTACCTGGACTTCCTGCCAGCCTCTCATCCACTAACCAAGCATTACTTGCTCTGCATCAGAAATCAGGTAAGGTCAGTGTATTCAGTGTGGCACATGGTAATTCAAAATGCAAGACAGCTGGCTTATATTGAATAACACAATTTGTCCATCTATACAGATCACTGTCTTCTCATTAGGCAACTGTTTGGCCGCTGTGTGGATGCAGTATTGGACTCCATAGGCTTGTGGTTACATGACATGGTTGGTTGCATCATTCATATAATTCCTAAAGTCAGTCTTTCCCGCTTCCTACACATTCCACTCCCAGCCAGAATGACCAATGGGGAAAGCTGCCTAAGATTTTTTAAAAATAATAATTAAATAAGGTTTCAGCCATGTGCTTCTGATATTACATGACCAACTGCATAGTCTCTTCATTTGAAATCCAGGCATGTTAAGAATTTACATTACTGTATGCTTATTTGGATCATGAGAAACTATGGGTTATTATAGAAGAAATGAGTGTGCCTCAGCCCTTAATTGTCCTGATACATAACCTTTATTGTGGTCAGGAAGCTACTGTTTGGTTAGAATATGGAGAGACAGAATGGTTTCCAGTAGGAAAAAGTATCAGACAGGGGTACACTTTATCCCCTTTCATGTTCAATTGTAAAGCTTGTTTTAAACCATATGTGACAAAAGATGAGGCTGTTCCTGCATGTGTTACTTGAAAGTAAGGGAAAAGAGTAATGGATGGGAAGTATAAAGAGGTGATGATCCCTGTTATTGGATCATTCTGCTGTGTGAATTATGATGTATTTTGCAAAATTACTGTTCAGATTTTGTTGTTCTGTCCTATTAGACTGTTAAGTATGTTTCCATGTTATTTTTATATAGAAAAGTATTTGAGATATGTAGTAGTCTGGAGTTTTAAATGAGAAAGCAGCTGCACAGCAAAACATAAAAGGATAAGCACAGGAATGACCAGAGGAAGGAAAGAAGGAATGGAGGATGCCGGCTAGAATGCAACTCATATTGCAACAAGTATGACCAGTGAACTCCTAAATCAATCCACAGCCCCTGTGTGATCACATTCACATGTAATACGCATCATGAATCAAATTGTAGCAAAGCCAAATTGTTCGGATTCAGCTCTCCAATGAAGTTGGACCCTAACTTAAGTCCAACTGATTTCAATGGAATTTGAACAGAAAGTAGTTTTCTCTGGAAGGAGCCAAATGTGCTTGTGATGGGAGTCTAAAATGACTTATATTTAAGTATCCAGTCTTGAAAATGCTGGTAAATTGCACTGTTTGTGACAATTCTCCTTTTGCATTAGGCACATTTGTAAGATATTATCTAAAAATTTACCAATTACATTTCTGCTTTTTGTTGTGTTTACTATATGTATTATAAACTAAGAGAGAAATCACCAAGGCTGAAAGTCAGGCTTTGGTTTCAGAAAGATTAGATTTTCCTTATTTAGTCATCCACCAGAAGCCATAAACAAGAATCTGGAATGTGGATGAACTGCAAAACCATTAATGTTTTTTTTTTCTTAGAAACTTTCCAGAAATATTAATTGAAAGGTTCAATGTCCAGGACCAAATATTAGGGAAGAATTTAGATTACTTATCTTGTGTTTCATAAGCTAATGCGGAAACATCAAAGGAGATGGCAACATCATGTTTGGTTTCATGATGCAGTGGAAAGCTATCACTGTGCAGAGATTCTCAGTATGTTTTTGATCATTGAAACAGTTGTTTTGGAAATGAGAAGTTGTAGAAATGATCCCTGTTACTTCTCTCCTTCACAGATCCCTGCTGTCATAAGTCCTTACATGCACGACAGAGAAAGTGGTAGCAAGTTAGAGCAGGACAGTGACCTGGAAGCCTTCAGAACAAGTAAGGTCAAGTATGTTTATTACTTTGTGAACCATGAAGGATTGTGGAATGCTATTTTATTTTAGATTTTAATGGGTGATTGCAAAGATGATGAGAACTGGGATGACCGTGGTGCAATAAAAACTGGGATAAAATATGTGCCATGTTAAAATCAGAGAATGGATTTATAAAGACGTTTCACAATTGATAATTCTAATTTCTGTATAGCCTTCAAAGATTTAAAGCAATTCACATGCATTACATATCAGAAACTAAGTCAGCATGCCCCTCTTATGGCAGATGGAGTTTGAGGTAGCTCAGATAGATCTACCTCATGAGTTGATGATGGACGGAGGCTTCAGCCTAGAGATTTCCTGCTCTGCTGTTTCTTAGACACGATGTTACAACAGATCTGTGGATTTTTTTATTTAACCCCCTTTACCTTTTATGCATAGAGTAGCCTTTCCTAGTTTTTCAGGAGGGGAAAAAACAAACTATCTTGTTATGCTGTTTGAATGGCTTAGCAGCTTTGATGTGGGATCAAGTGGCTTATATATTTCACATACATAAGTAGATACTCCTCTGCCTCACACTTCGTGTGTGTGTGTGTGTGTATGAAAGAGAGAGAGAGAGAGAGAGAGAATGACAGAGGGACACATTGGATGTGTAAGCCTGATGCTCACCTGCATGTACAAAATATTTGTCTTGTATCTGTGTGAACTAGTCTTCTTGTTTGTTGTTCAGGAAAAAGAGATTTCACACTCTACTGTGGTGGTGAATACTGCTCACAGTATCTTCCTTTTTCTATTCCAGCACTGATCTGTCTTTGGATTGGCTTGCTTCAGGCATTACAATGAACTCTGCCAATGGCAAGAAAATTGAAGCAAATTTGGGATGGCCCTTACTGGCAGCTGAACTAATGAACCTAGCTGAGGTTTTGTATCATTGAGACCACATTCCTCCACATATGCTGGAAATCATAAAATTAATCTCTTTCTATCCTTACCTGTTGGGGTACAGTATCAATTTGGAGTACAGAATCACATTGATTTATTCCTGAAGCCTTGGGATTGCCTTTCTATGTGTATACACAAGGGAGTGTACAATTCTGCCATAAAAATCAATTATTAAAAAGCTGAACCTTAGGAACAACCACTGAAACCTTGTTGCTTGGCTTTTCATGCACAACAGGAACAATCTCATCCACAGCTGCAAAGCGCCACTGAATAAAAGCTTCCTTTGGTGATTTTGGGTGCACACAACTTTGCTGCGTTGTGTACCAAAGGAAGTCTTTAATTGGCAGTGATTGGTCAATGTCGATGATGCCATTTCCATTGCAGACACAGAGCTGAATTGTTGGGAACCCATGGAGTTGGCAGTATTGTGTTCGAATGGAATAATGTCCCTCTTGGGGCAGAGCAATTTCCTATGTTCCTGATACTTATCCCCAAAAAACCTGTTGTGCATATGTTTAGTTAGCAAGGAAAAAAACACCTTTCTGTTTAAGTAACCTTGGAGTATTTGAGCACACTCTCACACCTCATACATTAAGTATTAAAGCATGAAGCAGCAATCTGTTCTGGATCCTAGAAGGACACAGTTAATGTTCTAAGAAATTCTTAAGCAGGGTGAGTTGTTTGGGTGTTATTAGTTGTTTCTGTTCACAAAATGGCACAGGGGTATCATCACATCCTTAGCTGCATGCAGAAACATGTTTTGGACCAGCCTTACACATCATAGGTTGAGGAGTGGGAAGCCTAGATTAAGAAGGTGTGGCAGGATGCTGAGATGGTAGAAACTACTGTCCACATTTGGATGACTGCTGTGACCGTCTGCCACTCGTGCTGCAACACCCCCTGCCTGGCACACCTCCGCGGAGTCTTCAACCTTCTGGAGAAGAAAGGATTTGTCCCCCTCATTGGGAAGACCGCAAGGAGAACTGAGGAAAAACCCGCCCCCTGTTAGGAGTGAATTAGTGTAGGGAATCCCCGTTAGAGACGTCTCTAATGGGGACTCCCCATTGTTTCTACAGTTTGTTTCTGCATTGGTTCCAAGTTGTAATAAACCTTTTTGTTTAATTGCAGACCTGCCTGCATGTCATGGAAGGGATAACTGGGCCTGCCTGTGAGCTTTGAACAGAAGAAAAGGAATGTGAAAAGCTCGAATCATTCCTGTTTGGGCTACAACTCCCGAGATCCCCAGGTTCTGGGAGCTGTAGTCCAAAAAGAAAGAACATTTCCAAGCTCTTGCAATGTAAGCACACCATCATGTAGGCAAACTGGTCCACCATTCTCAATAACTGGAACCAAAAAAAGGCTGGAAACGATTGCTGTGGGTTTGTAGAGGAGGAGGGGCCCTGTGTGGAGGGGAGCAGAGACACACATGCTCATGCAGCTGTGTGTGCGCCTTAGAAGGAACTTTGGTCAGACATGTCTTTCTCAACTTGGTGTCCTTGCAGTTAATTTATGGATATGTAGCCCAACATGTCTGAAATATATATGTCTTGCTACTTATTACTCCTTAGCATGGGGATGGTTGATTAATAAATGATTGATCTTGATATACAAAGAAAATGAATGCAAATCAGTAAAAGCACAGAGTGGTTTGGCCTTTTAAAATACACAATCTTTCATGTATGTGCCGGTTGTACCCAGCCTGATCTTTTATACATTTTTTGCAACTCTCTCTCTCTCTCTCTCTCTCTCTCACACACACACACACACACACACACACGCACGCACGCACGCACGCACGCACGCACGCACGCACGCACGCACGCACGCACGCACGCACGCACGCACGCACGCACGCACGCACGCACGCACGCACGCACGCACGCACGCACGCACGCACGCACGCACACACACACACACACACATATTTAGATATATTCCCTTTTGAAGATCTTTTCCCTCAAGGAAGAACTAGAGCCTAAAATATTTTGAAAACTTTCCTTTAAAAATAAAGAAAAAGAAAACTGCTCATACTTCATGGTATTTGTTGTGCTGCAGGTTTCTTTCACAGAATAGTTTTTAAAATTATATTTTATCTCCTCCTCCTGTTTCCTTAATATCCCTTTTATTGTTTTACTTGTTTTTCTGAAAATGAAAGTGTCTGTTCTTTTAATAATGGCCCAAATGAGAATTGAAATAGAATTGTTTAAATAGGTAATGCTTTGATTGAGCTAAAATTCGCTTTTACTTTTGGTGTCTGTAATCTAATAATAAAGAAAATGTATTCATTTATTTAAAATATTTTTACCCCACCTTTCTCTTTAAGAAGGATCCAAGGCAGCTTACATCAATAATATACTGGAAGTTAAAAACAGTAAGTATACAAATACTAAAAAGGATCAAACAGATACTGTCACTAAAAGAAAGTAAACACAACACCAAAAATGCATTCAAAGTTAGACCAGTTGTGAGCTAAATACCTGTTATTTATTTGAGGACCAGATTCCTAGCTTAGTCACCTGGGATTGCTTTTCTGATGGCCAATATTAAGAGTCCCTGCTCCACTAAATAAACATAGTGAATTAGGTATACAGATGACTGTACCACTTTCTTTCCCAGCTTGGTTGCTATTTGCTCAGATCAGTGTAGAGGGAATCTGAAGTCTTTCAGATGATGTTGGACTATGATTCCCATCATCCCCAGCCATCATGGTCAGGAATGATGGAAACTGAAAGGTTAGAGACTCCCCTTTCCTGTGTCAAAGGGCCTGCCTGTGCCCTTCATACAATTCCTTTATTACGATTTGGAAAACAAGTTCAGGTTTAAAAATGGTGGACATGAATAATGAGATGACAAGTTGCACAAAGAAAAGCAAACCCAGGTAAGTAGGCAGGCAGGCAGGCAGCCAATCCAGGGATATATGTTGTTTCACATTGTTTGTACCTCACCCTCAAATCATCCTTCAGCCCTGCTGCTTTCCCGCTTAACTGCTTTCCTCTCAACTGCCAGCCTAGACCATGAGTGTCTGTGGATGTGTCTGAGCTCCAGATATTCGTTTACAAGGACGATATCCTGAAGTGAGCATTCTGTGAAAACACAACGGTGATAGTAATTGTGAAAATATCAAAATTCACTGTATGAGGAAAGAAGCTGAGGCTTCTTTGTTGCTGAATGATAGGGCTTTTTTAAAAAAATCACAATTCAAAGTTTGGGCAAGTGGTTTTTAACAGTTTTGAATAATTAAATGGTGGAGTGATAAATTTTGCCTTTTAACGAAATGAAGTTTCTTATCATTTCCTTTCATTTTCAGAGTTACATAGCTCCCCTTGCTGGTCAAAATCAGACACTACAGCCTGGATATAACCTTCAGGTTCTCACCTGTGGGCCCACCATTTCAAGGACAAAGGAACCCTTTCTCTTTTGTTAAGATACTTGCAACTGTGGGGCAGGATAAGGGCTGATCCTACTTAGATCCATGGTGCAAAAGGAGAGGGGGTAGGTTTCTCCCCTCACCTTGTTTTACTGATGAACCCCTCCCATGCCTGTCTGTCCTGTAGAAAAGAATAAATGGGCACTCATAACTATTGTCATGAAAAGACAACATTTAAAGCTAAAAACAGTAAGTATACAAATACTAAAAAAGCATCAAACAAATGCCACACTAAAGAATGGTAAGCAAAATTAACACCAAAAACAGATTTGGAGCAGTAAGGCATAACCATCCATTTAAAATCCCCACTCAGGCAGCCAGTGACTAAGGAAAAGCTTGCCTGAAGAGAAAAGTACTCACGTTCTTGTAAGAAGGACAGCAAAGATGGGACCAGCCTAGCCGCCTATAGAAGAGAGTTCAAAAGTCTGGAAGCAGCAACAGAGAGATCCCTCTCCTGTGTTCACACCAAATATACCTGGGAAGGTGAGGGGGGGGACCAAGAGAAAGGCCTCTCATGATGAGCTTAACACACAGGCAGGCTCATGATGGGAGACACAGTCCTTGGGATACCATTTTGGGCTTTATAGGGTAGAACCAGCACTTTGAATTCTGCCCAGAAACAGATCGGCAGCCAGTGGAGTTTCTGTAATGGGGGTTATGGGATCCTTGTGACCAGACCCAGTTAGCAATCTGGCTGCTGTGTCTTGGACCCACTGAAGTTTCTGAACACTTTCCCGAGGCAGCCCCACATAGAACATGTTACAGTAGTCCAGCAGGGATGCAACTAAGGCATGTGTTACCATGGCCAGATCAGAGCTCTCCAGGAATGGAGAGGATACATAGTGATTAGTGCAGGAAACTGTTATGTCACAGCATTATCTTTCCCCAGCAAAAATCTAGTGCAGGGACGACATGCTGAAAAGAGACGCATATTGTTTAATGCCAGTAAACACAAAACCAAGGAACCTGGCTCATATGCGTTTCCCAAGTGTGTGTACACAGGCATTAGACAAGCAAATGTGGTTTAGTGGTTAGAGCATTGGATTGAAAATTGGAAGATCTAGTTTCTAGTTTCCACTGCACTAGTAAAACTCATTTGGATGATCTTGGGCATGTGACTTTCTTTCAAATTGATCTACCTCTCTGGGTTGTTGTGAGGATAAAGTGGGCAGGAGGAGGACTATATAATACCATCTTGAACTCCTTAGAGGAACAATGGGATATAAATGGGATGGATGGATGGATGAAACTAATACTGTATTTCCAGGTAAATGTAACACCAGAGTATCCATTGCCAATTGCAATGGGTGAAGCCTTCCTTCATTTCCCCCCAACAACAGCCATTTATTATTAACTTCAACACAAATGGGTGGTTCCATACTGACTGGAGGGCTGGTTCAAGAAAATCAAGTAACAGCTCTACAGTCCTTTGCTTTCATCCCCGCTCCCCCATTCCTGAACTTTTGTCTACCCTGCACTTCTGTGATTTTTTTCACAGAGGTCCACTACTTTGCTTGAAATGTTTGTAACCAAGAGTTGCAAAGCAAGGCCCCATTGCTTCACCTGCCTTTTCCTGATAAGATTAAAGCCACCAGCAAGGATCAAATTTTCTCCTTTTCCTAATATGACAGCTTGATAGCTCATCGGATGAGTTAATTGGCTGTGGAGCCAGAGGTTGGGAGTTCACTTCCGCAGTGTGCCTCCTTAACAGGGGCTGGACTTGATGATCCATAGGGTCCCTTCCAGCTCTGCAGTTGAAGATTTATAATTATGGATTGTCCTTATGCATGCATAATTGCACCATTTCCTTCTTTCCTTATGGTATGTGTGTTGTAGTTATGTGCTGTCAAGTTGCCTCTGACTCTTGGAGTGATTTCCAAAATGTCTCATCCTCAGGTCAAGTTGCCTCTGACTCATGGCGACCCTGTGAAGGAGTGATTTCCAAAATGTCTCATCCTCAACTTCACTGCTCAGCTCTTGTAAACTCAGGCCTTTATGGTGCCTTCCACCTTTCCCAGCATTATTGTCTTTTCCAGAGAATTCTGCCTTATCATGATGTCCTCAAAGTAGGACAGACTCGGTTTCAACATTTTGGTTCCAGAGATAATTCAGGCTTGATTTGATCTGGGACACACTTGTTTGTCTTTATGGCAGTGGAAGATATCCACAAAATTCTTCTCCAGCACCATATTTAAAGCAAGTAATTTTTTTTCCCTGTAGGCTTTCTTAACTGTCCAGGTTTCACACCCATACATGGTTATTAGAAACACTAGAGTGTGGATGATCAATTATCTTGGTCTTCATCTCCAGTGACAGATCGTTACACTTTATTATATTTTCTAATTTCTCCATTGCTGCCTTTGTTTGGCTGGCAGTGTTTTTTCCCTTTTCCTCCTGTAGCAATCCCATTTTCATTTTTTAAAACTTGCTTTTGGCTTCTATGATCACCTCTCAGGCTGCTGTTGGGCAGGGCATGTCCAGATGACATCAGTTGATGCACAAAATGAGGCATGGAGTGGCAGTTAACTCTACTCCTTTTTCCCATCTTTTGCTCACACTGATAAGGACTACAACTACTGTGCAGTTTGTAAATTGTTTTTTTTAAATATTTTCCC